TGTCTTTGCTGTCATATCCAGATCAGGAATATGGTCCGGTTTTGGATGATTTTATTTTATGGTGTAATAGGATGAAATTAGATTTGAATGTGTCAAAAACGAAAGAGATGATCATCAATTTTAGTAAGAAAACACTTGCACCTCAAAGGGTGGTCATTAATGACACACAGGTTCATGTAGTGGAGGAATACAAGTATTTAGGAACGATTATTGATAATAGGCTGAAGTTTGATCAAAACACAGATGCAATCATTAAAAAGTCACATCAAAGATTGTTTGTGCTGAGGAAGCTGAATTCTTTTAATGTACAGAGAGTCATTCTCAGTACTTTTTATAATTCATTTGTTGAAAGTATCCTGTCTTTTCCTTTATTTGTTGGTTTTCCTTATTGTCTACAAAGAACAAAAATCGTTTGCAAGGTATTGTTAATATGTGCTCAAAGATTTTAGGTGTTCCCTTGCGAAGTCTTACATTTTATTATGAACAGCAAGTGATGAGGATGGCACATAAAATTATAGGAGACTGCACACACCCTTTGAATGATTATTTTAAGTGGATGCCTCTTGGGCGACATTTAAGGTCAATTAGATGTTCCACAAATCGGTACAAATTTACATTTGTGCCTGAAGCAATACGTTTATGTAATAAATTTAGTTGATTTAGATGATTTATTTAATTAATTAATTTAATTAATAAATCCCCCCCCCCCTCATATTTGGTGTATTTTGAGTATTTGTATGTGTGTGTTAAGTGTTGTATATGTGAAGCACCATGAAAGTCTGAATTAATTGCCCCAAGGGGATTAATAAAGCTCTAAACTAAAACTAAAAAATATATAATAAGAAGAAGAAGAATATACAATAATAAGAATATAATAACTAATTATAATTTTCATTAAACTTTCTATTTATTTATAATTTTGTAATGCTTTTAGCTCTGCTTAGGAATTTTCCACTGCACACATTTTGCAAGGTACTAGTGTGAAGTGTGAATCAGTCATAACAGGGTTTACCTGTCTGTGTTTTAGATTGTGCACATGAATAATTATTTTGGGCTGGGAATTGATGCTGAACTGAGTCTGGACTTTCATCATGCACGTGAGGAGGACCCAGACAAGTTTAATAGCAGGTGACTATTGTTATTTTACCTCAAATGGGTGGCCGTGTGACTCACAGTTAAGGTGAGAGTGGTCTGTGTTTAGGGATTTTGATTTTGTCATTGTTCTTGCAGGTTCCACAATAAAGGTGTGTACGTAAAGGTGGGCCTGCAGAAGTTGAGTCACACACGAAACCTTCATAAAGACATCAGCCTGCAAGTGGACAGAAAGGACTTGGAACTGCCCAGTATAGAGGGACTGATATTCCTCAACATTCCCAGGTAAACACACAGTGGTAGTAAAGACGCTTCCACACACCTGAGTTTGTTGTTGAAGATTAAAGCTGCTGTATGTGTGTCTAGCTGGGGTTCTGGTGCTGACCTGTGGGGCTCAGACAGTGACTCTCGGTTTGAGCGGCCCAGGATAGACGATGGGATGCTGGAGGTTGTGGGAGTTACTGGTGTTGTGCACATGGCGAGTTCTTTTTTTTTTTTTTACAGTAAAAAAAACAAGGAATCACAAAATACCGTAAAAACAGTAATATTGTGAAATATTATTGCAATTTATATATATATATATTTTTTTTAATATATTTTTAAAATGTAATTTATTTCACCATCTGTTAGCCTTCAGTTCTATTATAAATTTCTGTGTATTTAAAATGGCTACGTTCTCTATTTTAGGTGTGCATGCTGAGAAAGTCCAAGACCAAGCAGAAGAAACAATCAGGCAGTTTGAAGGAAGGCCGTTCCGACAGTCCAGCTCCCAGTGACGGTGGGCAGTGACAAAACGCACAAACACTGCATTGACAGCCCTTTACTGTCACCTTGACAACTTTTCTTTTAGTCTGTCCTCTGTTCTTTGTTACATTCTGGGTTGGTATCGATGCTACTTTAATTACTTTAGCTGACCTATTACATATTACGCAGACATCTCTATCATCTCATAGTCTGTAGCGTTCAAACGCCTGTCTGACAATAGCACTGCAGTCTGTTACTCAGGACTTTAGCTGCCCTCGGCCTGTTTTTGCCTTAGATTCATGCTGGTGTAGATATTTTTATTGGTTTTATTTTGATTGCCAAACTACATCTTCTTTTTAAAGCGAATATTGTCTTAAAGTAGTCCATCACTGAAAGGCTACGGCACATATTAATAAGCAACCAGTATTTAATCACATTGTGTGCATCACAAATGCCAAAAAATACACTTTTGTGAACATCACCAAGTTAAGATTATCACTCTCCTTTCTCATATGGCGGCCTTTTTGGTTTATGGTGCATACTGTGACTCACCTGGTCATTTTTCATCTTTATAATTATTGCCTTTAATGTCTTACTTGAAGTTTATTTGCAATAGCAGCCCCCTAGTAGCTTTCTACAAGTATCTGAACCAAATTAATGCAGTATAAATGTATAAACAACTCCATTAAGAGCACATTTGATTGTATAAGTGGGTCAGGGAGAGATTATTGTCTTTGTATATCAGTTTTGTAGCTTTCTCAGCTGTGAGACTGTAGGCGCAATCATGCGCCTCACCAAAACGTGACTCGTGAGTAAACAATTTGGCGTCATCACAGCCATTTTGTAAAAGGCGGATAAATATTAATAGCTTTTCGAACATGTGTGGTACCGACAAATACTGTGAAACGCTTAAGAGTTGTGGATTTTACGAAAGATGAATGTTTGTAAATTCCGTGCGATGTTTGTGGACACATGCACCACTTTTGGTATTAAATCGTAATATAATGCTGTACGATACTTGATAAAACATTCCATGCAAGATTACGTAGCATATGTGGTATTTAACATGGTGCCAGTTAGTGTAACTGGTCATATGAACCTTTAAGCCAACGTAGCTTTATCATGTTCTGGTGAAAGCATTGATTTGTAAGTAAATAAATTTGTTACTGTTATCTGACAAAGTAGACAGTCGTGTAAGCTACTCATCCTATTGTAAAGCTAAAACTAAAGGCGAGCGCAGTGCTATAATATACTGGCTAGTGTATATGTGGTTTCTGTACAGTGACTGGTCAGCCCTGGATTCATGAGGCTGGCCTTAGATTGTGTATGTATGATCAGTTAGACTCTCCACTCCCCATCAGTCTTGCATTATTGGCAGGCTGTTGCCCTGAAAACGTGCTGGATGCAGGGCGCAGCCTCAGCCACCTATAGGACGACTGTCTGACTTCATCTACCTCGTCTCACCGGCACACATCACTTCGAGAATCAAGTTCTGCCAAGTTCTCCCAAAGACTTGCACTTGCCTTTCATCCTGCACTTCATGGGTTGTGTCTGGGAATATTCGGAACAGGTCAGATAGGTCAGGTTAGATGCCATATTGAATTTAAGAGATGAAAATGAAGCTGTGAGGGAGAGACTTGCAGTCTTTACCATGGCATGCACTTTATAAAGATCCTATATCATGTCATTTTTCACAACTCACAACTTTCAAAACTGTTTTACGGAGTATTCGTTTTTTTCGGAAAGAAGTTTCATCAGCTAAACAGTCAGCATGTTGTTAAAATCCATTGAAGACACTGTACTTGTGTCACTCACAGCCTCGTTTTCATCCCTGGCAGAAATTAATTATGGCGCTTACCTTATGGTCTGTGATGATGAATATGAAAATCTGACCAAGATTACACAGCACTGCATCTTGAATAAGAAAAAAATCAGCTGATTTGCAAAAAAGACTTAATATTAGCTAATTTGCTCAAATTTGAGTTAAAAAATATCACAAACTTTCCATTATGTACAGTTTTTCACAAAATAAAATGTTCAAATCATATATATATATATATATATATACACACTGTATATATGGCTGACTTTGCCTCAATAAACCCCTAATTTGCTGCCTATTAATAATTAGTAAGGTAGTTGTTAAGTTTAGGTATGGGGTATAGGATTAAGGATCTAAAATATGGTCATGCAGAATAAGGCATTAATATGCGCTATAAGTACTAATAAAAAGCCAATATGCTAGTAATATACATGCAAATAAGCAACTGGACCTTAAAATAAAGTGTTACCAAAATAAGAAATGTTACTTTGGATGAAATAATATATATATATATATATATATATATACACACTGTATATATGGCTGACAATTGAACAATAGTTTAACCTGACTCGAATGAAGATAGGAACCATGTCTTTGTGGCAGTTTTTCTGCTGATTAAGGGATAATACAAGACTTCTCCTTATAAATGTTCGTTGAAAGCAAAAATGCCACAAAATGCAAACATTTTGTTAGAAAGTGTGACATGCTATAGCAAAACAAACACTGTTTTTTGGAGTCAGCAGCAGCACCCCACAATTAGTATGAAACAAGTATTAGCATTCAGCTAATACGGTGCAGTCCTGTGTTATATATGGTAAGACTAATGGTTTAGGTCTCAGTGGCTTTTTAAAGTTCAAATCCAAGATGAAGATGCAGTCTTCTCTCGCCGATTCACCCTCTCTTGTGTCGATGTGTACAGTGGTGATTTTTCTGCATTAGTCGTGCCTGTTGCCATGACAACCCGTCGGGGTAACGTGCTGCTCTGTGGTGTGGTTTGGCCCGAGCTCTGCGTTTAGTGCCTCATATAAGTGCTTCTAGAACTTCTGCGGAATTGCCGTATGTGTGCGTTTAAGTCATTCTGTTTGTTCTGCTGGTTCAGTGACTATGAAGTAGAACCGTGCTGTTCTAGCCTAGGTCTTATAGAGCTGATGTGCCTCCTGATTGGTTGAATCGCATGAAAACACGTCCCATTTCACCCCAAAAAATCAAAAGAAAAAAAATCTAAATAATTATATTAAATTAAAATTTTAGGACCATTAAGATTTTAATTTTTTCCATTTTTGACATTCTTTTCATGACAATTAAGCACTTCTTTGTTTTGTTTTTTCTTTAAATGTAATTCCCACTGGTGATTGTCCTTAGATCCTCCTTACTGTACGTAATGCATTACTATTTTTATTTGATTTTTAACAATTACTACAATTCTGTATAAATACTTGACAACAATACCTTGAAAATAATGACAAAACCACTTTAAGCAAAGTATCATTTCTTATTTCTTTTGATTTTAGAATGAAATATGACCTTGTTTTGTGAGATTCACCCAATAACTTTGTCCAGTCAAAACTGTTTAAGATATTTGACCTCCTGGTGTGACTTAAGTTTTCTGATTACTTCTTGTAAAGTGGGTTTAATTGATGTTCTGAGATCTATGTAGATGTATATTTTTGGAGAGAAAATGTTTTTAATTTGATCTGTAAAGATATTGCACTGACTGTACTGTTTTAAAGATGCTTTTAAGTGTACATTGTGTTTAATGAATATTAAATAACTAAATGTATAGATATGTCATCAGCTGTATAACAGATGGATGTGTCCAATGAAAAAAAAGACATACAATTTGGACTTTTTAATACAATTCTGTTCTGTCTTTTTATTTTGCATGATTTTAGAAGTTCCTATTGTACAAAGTAACAAACTTGATCATTCAAACAGCACCAAATGTAAGCCATAAATCACTCTCTGCCTTCTTATCTACAAAACATGATTAGTAGGTCAGTTATTTACAACGGTATAAAATGGCTAGAATTATATATATTGAGAATAATCAGCTTATACAAATCATCAAATTATTTTACTCCTAATGATTTTCGAGTTTCCACAGTATAAATGATTTAAAAATAGTATGAAGTAGTATCTTCTCAAATAAATAGCTTAAATGAGAGAATGATCTGGAATGGGCACAGAATTTAAGGGCAGGATGAGGCGAGGGCTCAGTCCAGGCTAATGTTCCCACCATACAATGTGATGAGAAGAATCATGGCAAATCCTGTCAGCATTCCTGCGTTCTGGATCGCAAAAAAAATGATATCGGTCTTCATGCTCTGCACTTGTTCACTAGCAATCATGTTCATTTCAGGCAGCTATGTGTGAGAGAGAAAGATGGTCAGTATTTGCTCCGCTAACACAGATTTATGTTCCATTTAGGCATTAAAAGTGGAACCAAAGTCAGTTTCTCTTCATTTTAACCTGAAATAAATGAATAATAATGCAATAATGAAGCAATAAATTCTGACAAAAATGGTAATATAATATTTCTTATTTAGCTCAAATCATGCGGGAAAAACCCTAAATGCTATAAGTAAAAAGTATTGCATTGAAATACTGTTCCATTCACAAGTTTAAGGGCCAGTATGATTTTTAAAAAAAAATGTTTTTAAAAGAAGTCTTTTAGGCTCACCAAAGCTGCATTTATTTGATCAAAAATACAGTAAAAACTAAAATATTAAAATAAGTGTTTACTATTTTATATATTTAAAATATATAATTTATTTATGTGATGGCAAAGCAGCCATTACTTTAGTGTCACATGATCCTTCAGAAATCATTCTAATGTTCTGATTTGCTACTCAAGAAACATTATTACGAATGTTGAAAACAGTTGTGCTGCTTAATATTTTTTGTGGAATACTTTTTTTTTTTCAGGATTCTTGAAAAAGAAAATTCAAAAGAACAGAATTTATTTCACTACAAATAAATAAATACAAATTTTTAAAAAAGTGTTTTTGTCTTGTTTTCCCGTACAAATATCTAAAAATGTATGGTTATGCTTAATCCAAGAAAAAATATCTGCCAGTGGGGTAAGAAAAAGACACGATTCAAATGGAAAACATGCCATTGGCAGATATTTTTTCTCATTTTGATACATTATTGAGAAAACAAGACTTAATATCTCATCATTTTGTTTCTCAAGTAAATGTCATTTAAGACTGTTTGTTTA